TGTTTGGCCTGGCCCCTGTTTTTTTGGCACTGGCCTATAGTATTATTTATGACCCTTAGGCAGTCTCAGTTTTGGCATACCAGCAAGAACGACTGATGAAAACAATTGTGTCACCTTGGCTTAAGTAGTACAATCAGCAGTAACAGCATTACACACAGCCTAGAAAATGACAAATTGTGGTAACTATTAATTTGCCACCTTTAACCATATGAACTATATTTGTGGTTAAAGAACAAAATCTCAAATAAAATGGAAAATTGTAATATAGTAAATATGCCCTCAATATGGCAATTTTACCCTCTGGGGAAAAAAATTTAAAAAGGGTTAGGGGAAAACTAAAGATATAGAAGAAGAGGAAGAGATTTGAATCAAGGCTGAAGGATAACGGAAGATTACACAAATTTTGGGAAACTGGTAAACAAGACAGGAGGGAGAGAAGTAAGAAATAAAAACAAGAACAGAACAGAACACCAGCTACAAAAAAAAACAACAAATGTTCTCATAAAAACAAGAACAAACCATCAAGAATGAAAACAAAAACAAAACAAGAAAAGAAGGAAAAAAAAAAAGTCCACTTCAGGGCATGTCTCTGCTGTCACTGGTTGACAGAGTTGGCAGACAGAGCCCAGATTGATGTTAATTAATCCCAGCAAGCCAGCCATAGATTTATGGTGGGGTAGGAGGTAATCCTAGGAAGCCTGCACTTTTAGTTCAACTGAAGTTCAGGCTGGTTTCTGGCTGTGAAGCTGGAGCCAGTTTATTCAGCCTGCAACACTCTGTGTGCCTCTGGCCATTTGAACTTTGCTCCTTGTTTTGTTGCCTACTTTGACTCAGCTCTGCCTCACCCTGACACTGGGGAACCACTAGATGGAGCCAGTCTGTAGCTGCTCTGAGTTCTGATCTCAGCTTGCCCCTCTTCTAGATGACTTACTGGCCAATTGCCCTCTGTTGTGGGGTGTCTGAACCTGAATAATTCATCAGTCACTGTAGTCGGATACATCCGGTGCTATGTTTCACTGGTGCGTTTTTCCATGAGGTCCTCCGGGGTTGCCAATCGTCATCATGAGTCTGCGGGTTTGAGCCACCACTCACACACAGTGAGTCACAGTTCAGGAGAAAGCTCTGTTTACCACCTCCTTTTGCATTAAAGTCTTCGCTTTCCCTGTGGTCTCCAGTTCTTGCTTCAGATCTTTGCTTGGTCCTGGAAACCCACTTCCCTCCTTCTCTTTCTCATGTTATTATATTCCAGCATCTGGACACCATATCCAGCTATTTCTCTGCTGTTCACCACTGAGCCATCTTCCTGAAAGTTGTCTCCTGACCTCTATGTCTATTTTCTTATGGATTTTCCATTGCCCAGATTGCCCTGAAAAAGGGTGGATTGTTCATCCTGTTTGTACTTATGTATACATGTGCAGTTTTGGAAGGTGAGCTTTGAGTTAGAATTTAAGTCCTGCTTGTGGAGATTTTCTCAGATATCATTTAATGGGTATTTATTGAGCATCTAATATATGTGTTATGGGGGGTGTAAAGGACCCAGGTGAAGAAGAGTGCTTAACAGTCTGGCAGAGAAATTAATTAAAAGTATTAATATAGTAAATTTTTGAATTGTGAAAGATTAGGATTTGGTGCATGCCATCACTCTTTGGTCCTTCCGCCACTTGCCAGTCCTTGGTTAATTGGTTTCTTCCTTTCTTTCTGCACTGCAGTGGTTCATTGTCTATGATCACCACTGATATCTTTCTAGGCATCTTATCCAGTGGCTTTTACTTCATCTTCTAACTTAATCTTTCACTCTTGCCTTTCACATCCTTTCTGTTCCAGCCAAACTAAAACACAATTCCCATTACATTCCTGAGCATTCTGTTTATAGAGGTTTGCATAGTTGGTGAGTTAATGAGCAACATCATAGTTGAGAAGAAGCTTAGTTAATTGGAACAGAACTATAACTAAGGAATGAAAAAGGGATATAGACAAAGGTAGGCTTTAAGGAAACTTGAGAACAAATAAATACTTTACCACTCCTTGGTTTCTCTCTCTCTCTCTCTCTCTCTTTTGTCCAACTTCTAAATGTTAGGTTTCCAGGACTTTGTTTTTGTTCCTTTTCTCTTCTCTCTATACCAGGATGACATATAGTTGCCAACTTTGGTCCCTTGTCAGTCACTGTCTGACACAATGTGTAGTAAGATTCGGAGGCTTTCTTTGTATTCATCAGGGGAGTGTTCTGTTTGTTTGTGCTGTTTCCTGTGAATTCTCATTTGTCAAGTGATGACGTGGTGCTGGTCCAGACCATGTTGTCTGTAGGTCATCTTGCTTGATGTCATAGAAATCCAAGGCTTTGGCTGTGTTCTCTGTGCTAACAGAGATGTTTTGGCCCAGACCTCATTTCCAGGTTATAGATTCCTATATCGAACAGCCTCTGAGCTCCAAATGCAAATCTCTTAATTCAGTATGTTCAAAATTACTCATCTGTTCTCTCTGAACGTGATTTTTCCTGGATTCACTGTCAGTGAATGGTACCATCTCTCTACTCAGTCACAGAATTAGGAATTCTGGAAGTTGTTCTAGACTTCTTCATTCTTCTGTGTTGAAGCAACACCAGGTACTAGAGTTTTGCCATTTTGTCCCTGCTTCTCTGTCTGTACTCCCTTAATTCAGCTTCTTTGCACTTCTTCAGACACATCTCCCTGACTCTTGTTTTTTTCCAGTGTTCCACAGTACTGTCAGAAAAATCAAATACAAATCTTCTTGTTTAAAATACTTTACTTAAGTTAAGCTGGGCATGGTGGTGCACGCCTGTAATCCCAGCCCTCGGGAGGCTGAGGCAGGAGGATTGTGGTTGAGTTCGAGACCAGCCTGGGCTACATAGTGAGAGGCTGTCTCAAAAAAGTTAAAAAATATTTTTCTTTTTTTTACTTGGACCCTGTAGCTTTTGGGACACATGCTTAGCTTAGCATACAAAGTCCTTCATGATTTGCTCCCTTCCTGTCGTTTCAGTTATCCCTGTCACTTTGTCATCTATACCTTTTCTTTCAACCATGATACAATTTTGCAAGTTTCAGAATAGCTATTTTCAGGCTCCTACATGTTATAGTTAACTCTGCCAGGTGATCCTATAGCTTCTTTTTGATACAACTAACACCCCAAAATACTATTCTGAAAATTTTTAAATATGTAGCAAAATTGAAAGAATTTTATAATAAATATAAGTGTACTTAACTCTATATTTTATCGTTTTACAGTACTATGTTTCACTATCCATAGTTTATTACCTATCTATCTTTTATCCTACTATTCATCCATTGATGTAGCTTACTTTTGGTCTGTTTTAAAGTAAATTACCGGGATCAGTATTCCTTTCTCTAAATACTTGGCATGTGATCCAGCAAATCCAAGTGTATATTTGCTGCATTTTGACATATGCATATATCTGTGTAATCTGAATCCTTCTCAAGATAGAGATCATCACCTTCACCTTTGGAGGTCCCCTCATGTTCCTTCCAAATCAGTCTTGTTCCTATTCCCTCGAGGATTCTTTTTTTATTTCCATAAAAGATTAATTTTCCTGTTTTATCCTTTAAGATTCACTTGAATGTTACTTTCTTGAAATCTCCTGCTTTCCAGTTTTGATTTAGCTATTCCTGTGAACCAACAGCTCAAACTGTGGTTTCACTGAATTTTACATAGGGAAAAGCTGTCTGAGTATTCATCACACTATACTGTAAATGATTCTTTTTTCCTTCTGTGGTGCTGGGGATCTAGGGCCTTGCTCATATTAAGCAAGCATTCTGCCACTGAGCTACACCTGAACTCAAGTGATGGCTTTTTTGTTTAACTTTTGTTAGACTTTGGTCATTCATATTTGGATTGATATTGTACTGCTAAGCACAATGCTTGATACACACATAATATTCAGTGAACATTTGTGGAAATAAGCTGTATTGATAATGATGGTTAGAAGATTTAATAAAAGGTATGTTAGCTAAATTGAGAGGACAGAAATTATATTTTAGTTACTACCTTTTGAACTAGTTCATCATTAATATTTGTTGGATAGTCTTGGTATGCGTGTATCCTAAGTTCTTAGCAAAGTAAAGATTACTGGATTACTGACTTTTAATGCTTTTTTTTTCTTTTCATTTTTTTGAGACAGGGTCTCACTGTGTAGTTCAGGTTGGCCTAAACTTACTATTTAGCCCAGGCTGGTCTTGAATTCTTGGCAATCCTCCTGCCTCAGCCTCCCAAGTGCTGGGATTATAGGCATGTGCCACCACACCTGGTTTGTGAATGCTTTTTAAAGATATAAAATATCTAAGACAAATGAGGATTCAGAATACATGGTGTACTTGTAGGTTTCCTATGTAAGTAACTAGAAAAGCATTTGTTTATTTTTTCAATATTTTAAAACCAAACTGGATAAAGAAGTTGTGGTTTTTCTATAAAATGGAATATTACTCAGCCATAAAGAGCGAGAGAATAGATTCATTCATAGGAAAATGGATACATATTGAAGATATACTCCTAAGTGAAATAAATAAGTCACACATGTGTAAATACCAAATAGTTTCCCTGGTGTGAATAATCTGCAACAATGCATAAGATCCTAATAAGATTACTGACATTTAGAAATTTGAAGAAAGGAGCTAAAGGTGTAGGGAAGGTGTGATACGTAGGGGAAGAACAAAAAGGGAAAAGAAAAAAATGTGAGAGAATGAAAAGATGAAAATAAAATGTTTGTAGATGGGGAGGGGAGGAGGGGGTGAAGGGAGGGCAGAGGTAAGGGGAAAAAATGAGAATCAAGACTTGCCATGTAAAGGTACATGATCCCAACAATGAATGTAACTGTACTGTATCCCTAAAATGTACCAATAAACTCAATAAAAAAAAAAAATTAAATTGGCATAACAGGAAAAAAAAAAAAAAAAAAAAAACCCAGTTTCTGCCCTTCTTTCTTTCCCATTTATCTTTTTTTGCCCTTTCTCTCCATCTTAACCTGGCAGTACATTTGGCTTGGTAGATTCAGACGGGCCTTGTTATGCAGTGATGGTGTATAATATAGTGCAGAGCTGGGGAGTTCTCATTGGGGACTCGGTCGCCATCCCTGAGCCCAACCTTCGGCTTCACCAAATTCAGCACAAGGGAAAGGTGAGTAATGGCTTGGATTCAATTCAGTTGCAACTCATAGCCTCCAAGCGAATCTCTCTTTCTTTTTTCTTTTTTCTTTTCGGTATTGGGGATCGAACTCAGGACCTTGTGCTTGTGAGGCAGGCACAGTGCCACTGAGCTACATCCCTGGTCCAAATTGATCTCTTTTTAAAAAGTACTTTAGGCATAAAAGTCATGCATGCATCTGTGAGTGTGTATCGTACACATGTGTATGGCACACATACATGTTTATGGTACACAAATATGTACACATATACATAACATTCATACAGAGCCACCAAAAAATGTGTACATCGAGAAAGGAAAAACTTATAAATATTTTAATATTAAATTTATTGAGACATCATGAGATTAATACAAGTTACCTTTGGCCTCAACAATTTCAAGAGCTGCTCATAATGGAGGCCATTAGCTTCCAGACATTTATTAGTACGGTGAAGTGCTGAAGTGTGTATACATTTTTTTGGTGTTCCTCTGTGCACGCCCCGC